CAAAACTGTGTCGTTTTGGATTGAATTCGGGATTTTTAATGATTTTCAATTTAGTCCTCTAGCTTTCAATTAATTTCAATTGAACACCTAATCAACCCTAAACTTTTGATTTAATTCAATTAGGCCCCTGTAAAACAACTTCAGTCTCGTATTTACGTGCCTTGTGCAATTTAGTCCTTGGTCATGGATTTATGTAATTTAACCCCTAATTGACAATTAAGCTTTTAATTTTTTCAATTTCACCCCCGGTTTTTGTCAATTAAGCCTCTTTATTTTAGCGCCTTTTCTAGATTGGTCATTAGATGCGAATTTCTTCAATTTAGCCTCTAATTGACCCAAAAAAATTCAATTTTCTTCCAATTTTACTCCTAATTTCAATAAATTAATATGGTAAAAATTAAATTTGGTCACTTAAAATTCCAATCTTTTCAATTAAGTCCAAATTAGGTTGCCAAATTTATTTTTTCACTAATTAAGCCCCAAGTAAAATTGATTTGATCTATTTTAAAGTATAATTAAGTTCTTGCACTTAATTAAATCCTTCAATTGGACCCAAATTAATTCTTAAATATATTTAAAATTTAATTTGGCCCATGATTACATGAAATTGGCTTATTAAAAATTTAATTATGTCCATGGACTTAATTTTTACACAAATTCATCCAATAATCATTTAATTTGACCTTGAATTTGTATTTTTTTCTCAATTTTTTGCATAAAAGGGTACAATTAGACCTTGAATTTCCTCCAAATTGTAGCTTGATTCCTAGTTTGCTTTCTCCACGTTACCAACCATCATTATTTTTTGATTTTTTGATTTTGAAAAAGAAATTGATTTTTGAGGAATGACCCAGAATTAGATTATAACCGTATTGTTGCAAGCTCAATGAAAATTAAACCATCATCTTGCTTAGCTTTACAATTCACCACTAATAGCACCATTTTCTCTTCAGCTGGAGTTCAAGAAAAGTAATGCATGATCAATGCTGGAACGATGTCTCTCAAATTTTAAAATCCATAACGAAACCAAAACAAACTTTTTACACTTAAAATTAAAAAAGTAAATAGTGGTACACCTATCATAAGAGACCCCCTCTAATCATAAAGTCAAGGTCATTCCAATAACATGTGGCAAACAATCATAGGAATGACATCACACCAGGCCTCATCCACATATTTCTTTTCCAATGAAAACTTTAGTAAACATCGATGCTTCACCAAAAGCAAATTATTCTCATTGATTTAACTAATTCAATAAGGAGTAGGGTGCTTTTTAATTTTCAAGCCCAAACATTTCATTACTACTTCAAAGATCACATTCATGCCACTATCATTATCAATAATGATGTTCAATGCTCGACCACCAAATTCTATACACGGATGAAAGGTACAGGATTAACTTTGAAATCATTCCAAGTTCCAGTCAATACTAGATGGATCACATAAATAGACAGTTGCGATGCATTTAAATGCTCTTCATCATCATTAGTGCTCCTTTTATTTTCTTCATCCTCTGTTTCTTTCATTTTTGTCAATTCTATTTCATAGATAGAGGCTAATTTCTTATCTATAGTAGACAAACAATAACATAGTGTCTAAACCCCTTGTATTTGTAACACCGTAGACCTTCATTTATAACTTTCAATTTTCCCTTATGATCACTCATCATTATACTTCTTGGTTTGTGATGTAGTAATGATGGCTTCGGGATTGAAATGTTTACCATGTACCTCGATTTTAGATCCGTTGACATTGTTTGTTTTCCGCTCAAACCCCCCAATTATTTCTTAATATGTAATGCTAGTTGATATGTTTTTTCCACTAGTTAATCATGTGATCAACATTTCCTTGCACAAATTGCCATACAATCCATTATGGTATTGAGCTAACATTTACTGTTTAGTTTCCACAATCTTGCTATGAATAGTCAACTCATGAGAATGATACATATATTGATCCATCTTTAAAGATTCTTGCCTTAGTTGTAATATTTTTTAAACATCATTTGCTTATAATCAATGGATAAATATTTTTCCTTCATCTCCTCCAAGTTAGAAATTGATAGATGTTGGGTAAAGCATAATTGTTCTTCCACACTTCCCCACCAAGCTCGTGCATGCTCCTTCAAGTTTATTCTGACATAACAAACCTTTTAGTCCTTCAATACAACAAACCATTCAAAATAGTTTTTAATAACTGTTAACCAATCCTCAAAAACATTAGGCTCTAATTTTTAATAAAAGTCAGACACATCCACCTTCATCCTTTTAGTGAGTTCACTAAAAGGTTGATAATCCAAACCATGCCTATCACCGTTTTAATGAAACTCTTCTTTATTATGCTGAAACCCAGGTTGATAATTCACAAACTCTTTGATGTTTTTATCTTTTAAATTCTCCTTAACATTCCTATTATTTTCATCAAGTGAATCCTTATGAAATTAATAATGCCCTTTTTTATTAGGAGATCTAAGTCCCTCTAGAGCCCAACACTCATCCGTAACATTTTGTTGGTGAGAAAGTTATTCCAAAATAATAGTGATGTGGGTGATTTGTTGTTGTAGATTGACCCGTTCACGATTTGAGTTGTTGGGAATGTGAGTGTTTGACATATTATACAAGTTACCGTTACATGTTATAGGCATGAAATGCTCTAATACCTAAATGATGCAAAACCTCTTGTTCAACCTCATTTTGAGATCCAAGAAGAAAAAACAAAGAACATAAAATCTTTTTATAATAGGAATTACTCCAAGTCTAATATCCTTGTAAACTAAAAAATGCCTTGTTCTTTATTTTTATTCTTAGTAAATTGTCCAGCAAAAGGACTACAATCTAGGAGATTAATTTGGTCTATTTGGTATTGTGGTAGCTTTTGTGGTTGTGATTTTAAAAAAATTATTTTATAAAAAGTATTTTTGGTTGAGGTTGAGTTGATATTTATACATGTTTGGTTAAAACTGTTGTTGAAATTGAGGTTGAACAAAAAGTTGTTTGATGTGTTTAGTTAAGAATGTTTTTGAAATTGAAGTTATAAAATAATTTTAAATATATATATGAATATTAATAGTTTTTATTTTAAATATTATAAATTTAACTATTGCTACTACATCATGAAATAAATAATATTTTATATAAAATACTTTTTATTATTCCATTAAACTACCTATAATTTGGGATTACGATCAAATTTTATAAATGCTACGTGTTCAAGCGCTCTCTATCTAATTTATATAGTGCCATTGAATAATATTAAACACTAGTTTTTTGAATAAAATACAATTAAAAATAAAAATAATTTTTTTATTTTACTGGGTTGGATTCGATTCAATGATTTTGAGCTTTATATTGAACCTGATTTGACTTGAACAGTGAATGCATGCTCCACTTTTCACTGAACAGTATAACATAGTTCAACCACGCAAAATAGCTCCTAGCTGTTTTCCTTCCTCTTGCGTTTCAAACACAAAAATATTATGGTATCCATGAACAGTAATCTATGTTTTTTCCTTTACCAAATAAGTTGTATGTTTTTCCTTTACCAAATAAGTTGTATCTGTATTTTAAATAAAATATAGACGAGTTCAGCCATGTAAAGCAGCTTCTAACTACTTTCCTTTCTCTTGCGTTTCAAACACAAAAACATTATGGTATCTATAAACAGTAAATTATATTTTTTTCTTTACTAAGTAAGTCATATTTATATTTTAGATAAAATATAGACGCAATCTCATTAACAATCAAATTCAAACTAGAAAACAAATAACTAACTTGACTAGAAACAAATAGGCAACTAGGAAAAAAAATAACAAACAGTTAATTAATTGACATGTACTTCCAAAACAAATTCCATGTCCACTAAAAGTCCTTTATCCCCCAGCAGACCCCATGTTTTAAGGGACATCTTCGTAATTTGCATCACCCCCCACATGAAACCAGACTAGTACTGGAAGATAGAAAAGCAAGAAACTTAACTAGAATGCAATATGGCATTACACTTACACAGAGCATGCAATGTAAAAGCAAATAAAGTTGTTGTTTTGTTATATATCAAGAACAATAAAGTGGTATTATTAGCAGTGTTATTATACTTAATCTGTCCCGGGAGATCAATTTGTTAATCTAGGACTTAATAAGATTTTAGGTCGGGTTTTATGCTAAACTAAACAAGATTTAATCTGATCAAACTTGGTTCTCTCAATAAGTAAACTCAGGAATTGGTCAGAACCCGTGTAAGAATAATTTAGACTTTTTTTCAAAATGATGTTTTAACTTTTTAATAAAATGACAACAATATTATTTTGCAATGACCCATACCACCATGACTAGAGCCTCGAATTGGATAATTGCCGACGCCGAGTTTTATAACAATGATTATTACATAGCATATTTATCTGACGTCTCGTGTTCTTAATTGCAATCGTTCTCTTCTTCTTATTTGGTTTCTTATGATTCTTAAGACAATGCAGAATTAAAAACCAAGTCCTGTTCCTTGCTATTTACTTTGCAAATCACACAAATTTCTCATTAATAACCTTCTTAATCAAATCAACAAACACAGACCCTAAAATTGATAAGAAATATATATTTGATTTGATATATATATATATATATATATATATATATTTTGGTTGACAGAGATACAAGAATTCATCTTGGAAATTTAGAAACATGTATTTTACAGTCAGAATCAACAATGGAATCAAAGCTAAAAAAGATAGGAAAAAAAAAAGATAAGCATTCAAATTAATTAATGATAAAGAAAATAGGAGAAGAACGATGATGCAAATGATCTCATCGTCCATACGTAACCTGTGATCACCGGAACAGAATCCCCTTCCAATTTTTATTTTTTTCATAATTAACAATCTGCAAACAAGCATAATAAAGTTAAAAGAACACTGAAAAGGTTGTTCTAAACTCCAAAGCCATCACCTTGACCATCTAGGTACAATGGACCAAAACTCTCCATGTAGAACTTTCTGATTTACACGTGTGATCAACGTGGACAAATTTTGTTGACCTTCTAACCCTGCCAAACCTGGCTTTTGGCACCCATATAAAAGCTATTTCCAGGTAAACATTAGCCATGCAAAAAACAGACGGAAACAGAAAACAAAACAAAAATAAAACCAACATCGATCATGGACGAGGACAAAATAAAGAGCAAGGATGAAGGAGGAGAGGTCAAGTACAGAGGTGTCAGGAAGAGGCCATGGGGAAAATTCGCTGCAGAGATACGTGATTCAGCCAGGCAAGGGGCGAGGGTGTGGCTGGGGACTTTTAACACGGCGGAGGAGGCAGCAAGAGCCTATGACAGAGCTGCTTATGCAATGAGAGGGCACTTGGCCGTTCTCAATTTTCCTAACGAGTACCCAAATATGGCCGGTAATGCTAGCGTTGGTTCCAGTAGCTCTACTCCCTTTTCCTCTTCAGGCTATCCAGGTTCTTCTTCCTCTTTATCATCAACGCAACAAGAAGTTTTTGAGTTCGAATGCTTGGATGATAAGTTGCTTGAGGAGCTGCTAGAGCAAGAAGAGAAAAGGAGTAAGAAAACGTAAAACTGTGCAGCTGACATGTACCAACTATCATGGCATAAGGAGTAAGTATATCAGTGGGGGATCCTTATAGCACCCCATTGCTCTGTTTCTGAATGGAATTAGAAACCAAAAAAATAAAGAAATTGTTTGTGAAGTAATGGTCAATAGTAGGGTTTTTTATATATATATATATATCACCTGCTGTGAGACTAGAGATCATAGCATAAGATCTCACCATGGAATAAAATATATATATATACATCACCTGCTGTGAGACTGGAGATCATAGCATAAGATCTCACCATGGAATAAAATATATATATATACATCACCTGCTGTGAGACTGGAGATCATAGCATAAGATCTCACCATGGAATAAAATATTTCACGTTGATGACTAAATCATCGTACATCAATATAGTTCTGTCTGTGGGTGTACATGATTAAATGACCATGGAATGACAGACAATTCGCCAAAAGTTTGCTTGCTATATATGGTCTATTCCAATTCCCAACAGGCGCCTGAGTATTTATCGTTTCAATTTGATTGCATTTTATAAATGGGATTAGCATGCATAAGCGGTCCCTGGAAAATATCATTGTCGGAATATTCCTAGCCTTCTAGAAGGCATCCATTGCTGTGATATTCCCATGGTGTTATAATTCTGTATTGGACATAGTTTAGCAAAAATCAGAACACGGATTTAAACAATAAGAAAATCCAAACTTGGAAGCGCTGGCCTATCCGGTGGTTGATTTCTTTGTTTCTCGATAGGTCCTAAATTTAGAGCCCGCTCAGCCCAGATAAAAATTAATGTGTGGCCGAAATATCTAGCTTAGCAAGTGTATGTTACCCACACGAAAAGCCTAAAAGAAAAACAAGTTTAACCCTCAATCAGGTGGCAACCCAAAGCAGAAATTCGAGATGCCCCCACGTTCACAACTTAGCCTTGTTATTTGTTGGAAAGCATTTTCTTTAGTCTTGAAAAGTACTTTCTTGACTTGACAGCCTCATGTTTTATAACATTATATATATATATAAGGCATTAATATATAAAACACTTTAAATATAATATCATTAGAAAATAGTAAATTACTAATATATTTATATATGAATTATGTATTATTATATATTAATATACAACATAAACACAACATAAACATATATTAATTTGAAATTTTAGTGTATTTATACTTTAATTTAGATAAGATAGGTAGAAAATATATTATAATACAAAACACGTTATATTATACAATAATTATACATTTTGAATCATTAAATTATGATGTAAAAATAGGATATTATTGGAAAGAAACTTATTTTCAATATTCGCCGAATAACAAAAAAATATTTAGTAAAAGTAAAAATTCTATTATTTTTTCCCAGCATGACAGTTTTAATATCTTTTTTTTTATTATTATTATAAGTGATCAAATGGTTACATTTAATGCTATACATATTAGATAATATTTAAAAAAATAAATTTCAGTTTATTTTTTATAACATAGTTAATTAAGTGTTAATAATTATTTTTTTTATTTTTTCATGATATTTTTAAATATTAAATAATAATATATTTTACAAGAATATACTATCTATAAAAAAATACTTTTTAAAAAAAATCAGGTCTAAGCGGTGTGCATAGGCATTACTTATTGCTCTTCAAGTTGAAGAGCATGAAAATAAACAAGTTTGTTCTGCATAAAGTTGGATTTGATTATTATATAAAAATAAATTGAAAAAAAGAGAGAAAGGAGACACTAAATTATTTGGTTAATAAACCAAAAACTGAAATTTAAATAAACCGATCCACCATTGTGCCCATGTCGTCTACATCTAAACACCATAAATGTTCAACGGGGAATCCGCCATCAAGAGTTCGCTTGCAAGCTTTACTGTCTTTCATTCCAGAAATAGGATTAATCACACCACTCGTAGCCCTCTGTATAGCCACCACCATTACATCAGATCTCGCATTTCAAAAGCACAATTGTGCTGATCAAGATCATGCCATCACATCTTGTGTTTAGATTCGCTTATGCTACTGATCTTGATATCTTCTGCGTTGTCCCGCAATTTAAAACAACAACTAGCTCTAAATTACTGGATGCAGGATATCGTAAGAAGACAATAAATTCGTTTCATAATGCTGATCAACAAGATTCCATTTCTTTTTGAGCTTTTATTGTTATTTACTATTAACACTTTCAGTCTTGAAATTCTGTATATATTTGATAAGAACATCTTTGAGATTAACATTTTTTTTTCAAGCTGGAACTCAGCCTGAATCATCTTAGTCCCTCAACTATATATGCAATATCTACATAATCATTGGTGTATATTCTGTTCTCTTATAATCAGAACACCAGTTCTCATTGAGCTTGAACTGTTAAACAACGTTAATAATCATCGTGGAAGCAAATCGCTGCATGATTCTTATATAATCAACAATTTATCTTAACCTCTATTCTTCGTTTTACGATTGTAGTTAATATTTGATATAATGAAGAAGAGATTTGCTTTACTCGGATTCTGCATTAATTTTTACCTGAGCTGTTGTCTAACATGATACAAACTCGGCCTATGTCCCTCTCTCTTCTCCAGCCGTCAGTGAGAGTGCAAAACAACGAGCTATCCGTTCTCTCACAGCAGACCTTCATCAATATATATAAATTTCACCACTGGTTTCATTATATAGAAACTAAATTATTGACAGTGGAATTAATACAGATTAACAAATCTGCAAATTTATGGGTCAGCAGTTATTATAAACCAAGAGAAAATGCATAACTAGAACACCACATAAATATATAGTACAGTTTCATGTCCATGCTATAAATTCTTCTGTACTAGCAGTTACTATCAAGTAAGCCAACAACATAAACAGCATCAATGACAATAACTCAAGATGAGAAGAGAGGAGTTGATTATGGAGTAAATGAAGATCAAAGCCATGCTACACATTCACAAGTTATAGTCATACCTTGTTCTGCAAAACCATCTGCTATATAGTTTGCATCGCGTTGAACGCGAGAGAAACACACAGAACTCAAATGTGAAGAAAATCCTGATGCAAAAGATGAAAAGCTTATGAAATGTTCATGGCCTATTAGATAACCAGTGGTTAAGAAACTCAATAATCGTAAACCTAGGTGATCTGATCAGTTTTTCTCTGCTATAGTGAAGCCTGTTTTGTACCATAAAAATGATTCCAAACATTTGGAATGTCTCTTCTTCTCTTTAGTTTTGCATTTCATATACTCCTTCCGTCTCAAAGTTTCAATATCATTTAATTTTTCATCCAAAGTGCAATTAATAGCATAAAATATCATGTATTTTCAAATTACCGTAATTGAATATAAATAAGAGAAAGAAATTGGGTTTTTATGGTACAAAGGATAGCAAAATCACCCATGATCCAATTGCCTTCTTCAACTCAGATTAAATCGGCCGTGGTCAGCCATGCCAGCTTTGCCCAGATTAACCAAAAAGAACTTCCATCGGCACTCACCTTAATAAGACCTCGTGGAGGTTTAGCCCGAGAGATCCATCCTTGTTGAGAATAAGTTCCGGCGCTATCATCTCCAAATGCCTGTTTACATGCTATCAAGAGATCTTTCAATTGACACCATTGGGAGTAAGATGAAGCAAGTTTAACTTGAATAACTTCCTTATTACGAGCACATCAGATCACCCAACAGGTACAAATGAATTCACTGATTCTGTCTTCAATACAAGCAACTTGGAATACATTCATATGCAGCCACTCGTCCCAATCCCAATTGAAAAACCCATCCACATGATTCAAATGTCCAGATTGAACCTCACACTCTCTGTCCATTTACAATCTCGCAAAGCATGGATTGAAAGAATTCAAATAGAAAAGTATAATTACAAATATAATAGTAAAATCAAGTAATTAATAGTTTAATTATTTGATAACACGCAATAGTTTTGGGACATGTATAGGACAATAACTTTGAGACCGAGAGAATATAAGCAAGATTTGATCTTTATTCGTCAAACTAACCAGCTGCTAAGAATGCTTCATACTATACAGTTTTGGTTTGATATGGTAGGATTTCAATTCCTAAACTTTGTATGATGTTAAAAAAAAATGAAAACGAAAAGAAGCTAAGGCTATGAGCTTAGGAATTAAAATTACATTTACTGGGTTCGTGAGAAACAGGTCCGTGTTGCATGGGTGATCTCTCCCTCGGCTGAAGAGGGGCAACGAGCGAGCAGCTCAACATATTTTTGAGACAAAGGGGCAAGGTATCATTACATGTAAATTTCGAGAATTCCATACCAAATTTATCGTTGTCAACTAATTTAGGCACGCCATTCTCCCCAGTAGTTGGGTAACTCATGGATCCCTAACAATCTTATTCATCTTGTGGAAGTAAGAATTAATAATATGAAAATCATAGAGATTTTTCTTGAAAAACAATTCTTGAATAAACTTAAATCAAGAACAAAAAAAGAAAGGAACAGGCACAGAAAAAACTAAAACTCAATCTTGCTGCCGTTTCTTCTTCTCCTCTTCTGTTTCAAGAAGCTCCTCCAAAATCTTATCATCCAAGTACTCAAACTCGATAACTTGCTTTCCTTGTCCGTCACTTGATGAGCTTCCCCTCTGAAAACTATCGCTTGCACCAACATCACTACTAGATGATGAAACTGGAGGACGACGAGGAGAAGATCCTATCACTTGAGAGAGATAATCATTAGGAAAGTTGAGGATTGCGAGATGACCTCTCATGCTAAATGCAGCTCTATCATAAGCACGAGCTGCCTCCTCTGCCGTCTCAAATGTCCCTAACCATAACCTTGCTCCCTGCCTTGATGGGTCTCGTATTTCCGCCGCAAATTTTCCCCAAGGTCTCCTTCGAACACCCCGGTATCGAACCTCTTCTCTCCCTTTCAACTCCTTTTCCTTCCCTTTGTCAGGCTCTTCCATGCCCTTGTTTCAAATTTGGTTCTTGACAAAGATGGTCGTATTTGAGTCATATTATTTGGTGAATGCCTATATATGTATTTCGGAGCTGATATCCTATCTGACGATAGATGTTTGAATTTTCCAGAACGTGGTTTGACAATATCCATAGTTAGAGTTTTTTTTTAAATAAAATAAAATAAAATAAAAATAAAGAAGAATAACAAACGTTAAAAAACATACCAGCTTCTAGGAAGGTTCTCGCATCGAGCAATCCACATATTCGATTGTTCGACTTTTCCTATAATGGAATTCTAAAAGTGTAATAAATCTCTTTGTATAGATATGTTACTTAATTTGATGGTTCTGATTCTTGCCTCTTTGATAATTCCTAAAATTTAAAATGTTTTAGAATAAAATTCATGTATTGAATAGTTTGTTAATTTTTTAATTTAAATAATTTGATTTATTTTTTTTAGTTCAGGTGTGTGACTTTCACATGAAAAGTTTAGGGGCTGTAATTAATAGCGGGTGACAACTAATAAACCATGATAACATCTAATAAACCATGATAACATGTAATTATAGTAGTAGCAGATGATATTTAGTAAGTTTGTGACCGATAATTATAGTACTAATAATACTAATTAGTGTTTAATAGGTCAGATGATCAGTAGTTGATTTATGTAAAAAACTTTATTTGATAGATGTGAAGACTCTTTAATGATAAAATCAATAATTTTGCGGAGAGAGAAAGTACAATGATGTTTTAAAGAGACAAGCTCTAGAAATATACATGATGAAAATTTTAAAAAATAAAGAAATTATGAATGTAGTGCTTAAGGGGTTCATGGGGTATTTATAACTCATAAATCTTTTTCTTTTTTATGAAGAAAATAGAGGATACAATGTAATTTTACCTTTGTGATATTTTAAATTGTATACTACTTAAAATAATATGTCTCGAATCAATATAAATATTGAGAGACTTACATTGGATTAAGAAAAAATTCTCTAATAAGTGTTGTGTTCAAACAAGGTGCTCAAGCTTATTAAAGGTGAAAGTAGGTCTTGACACATTGTCAGAATCCAAACACATTGAACTTAAATAAGATAACTCAAGTCTTAAAAAGCGTTAAGGTACATGTCCAATATCAAGTGAGTATACGCCTATGCATTACATGGGCATATGCCCTGTATAGGTACACCTTCCATGGCACCCATGTACTAGTTGTTTGTGCACCTATGCACTAGGTGCATGGCTCAAGTTACTAGATGTATAGGCTTGAGCTATTAACTCGATCCTATATTTATAAGGTATTGTTTCAGTTTTTTTTATTAATAAATTTTTTTATTTATTTTTGAAGGGGTTTTAGGTCTATTTTATTTTCATCAATTAGTAACCTTTTGATCATTTAGTAACCCCCCAAAGGTAGTGACATGCACCCTGCATAGATATGTGTCCAATGTTCTTAATTGGTGGGTGTAAACCTTGTTTGGGCTCCGGCTATCATACTCCAATCATATTTTTTAGGTGTTTTTTAAGTTTTTTTGTTTAAAGGATTTTTTTGGTTCACTTTAAGGGGTTTTTTTAGTTCATTTTGTGAGATTTTTTTAATTCAATTTATATCCATAGCTCTTCAATTTGATTTGTTGCAAGAATAAAATTTTCATGCACAACATGGTAATTAGTGGGAACAATTTTTTCTACCCCACCTTTTTTTTCTTTCTAAATCATTCAAATTAGATTTAAAAATATTGTTTTACATCCATCAGATATCCAACTCAATCCAGTATTTAAAAATAAATAAAAAGATTATCGTATATAGTTTTATGTGTCATGAGTCTCGTGACCCTTGAGCCTTCAAGGTTCTAGGATGTAGTGTACTTACTTTTAAAGCATTTCCAGAACTAAATTAAGTATTTTTATGGTAATTTGAGAACCTAAAAGAATCTAAGTTAGATTAGAACATAATTTTCTAAATGAGCATAGAATGTTTTATCACAAATATTTAAATGAGCAAATAATTTTTTTTATAAAGAAATTAGAAGGTTTGTTCAAACAAATAAATTAATTTTAACACGTAGAGTCGAATGAGCAAAATTGTGCTATCACTTTAAAATATAAAGACTCCATAATCATCATCTTCTAAAGAGGTAAGAAGCTTAAAGATATCATCATCATTCAATGTTTATGAGAATAAGGAAGTCTGAATCTCAACAATTAATTATTTGTGGGTAGAGAAGCCTCCTGGTTTAATAGCTAACTTTCTAAGTAGCCAGAGAAACCTAAAAAAACTATACACTATATTATATATAGTGGTTCACGACTTTTTTAGAGTTTATTTTGATCTTTATTTTTATATAAATCATTCGATAATATATACCTTAAGAAATTATAAATTAACCTTGATCTTTATTTTTATATAAATCATTCGATAATATATACCTTAAGAAATTATAAATTAACCTTGATCTTTATTTTTATATAAATCATTCGATAATATATACCTTAAGAAATTATAAATTAACCCCTCCTAAATGTTTGTGAAATAAGAAATTTTTAATGATAATAATGGATTCTCATGTAATTTGGTATATGAACAGATTTTTTTCACATTTAATGTATATTAAAATCTTCTATAAGTGAAAAAAAAGTATATTAAAATCATCTATTTAGATAATATGCCCTGTATTAGAAAAAATGTATGATAGTCTAGTAATATGAACTAAATTAAAATAATTCTGTAAATGATTGAGTTGAGTTTGTTACTCAAACAAAAATTATGTTATTAACCGGAAAATTATAGTCTAAAATAATAATTAGTGTGTTAATATTTTAACATGTTTTTTTATTTATTAAAGCCGATAACTCAATAAATTTATTAGATGTTACATATCCTTAAAAAAAAAAATTATATGCGTATGCACACAAATATACTATTGATATAAATCAATTTAATTCGGCCATCCAAATCATGAGTTATCGAATTCTAATTTCTAACGAACACACACCCCAATTTTCAAAGATGGAAGGCATGTCTAATCAATTTTGGGCTTTAAACCCAACCCATAAACATGAATTATTTATGCCCCGAAATGTGGTCGTGCAACTTCTACGCCAAACCAATAACAAGATTCGAACTTAAGATTTCGAATTTAACGAGCCTTTGCCTACCTAACCCTTGGTTCTATAATATAATGGTTGCTCAACACGTCAATTTAAAATGATAGTATACTTCGCAAGTTATCACAATTTTGAATTAAAATAAAACACTGCTTTTGCTAGTGGTCAACTTTGTATGGATGTCCATGCCCCAAAGTTTTCCGCGCGTGGAATCTCAATTCTCGAGGAGGCGATCGAAGATCATTCAGAGATACAGCTTCGAGCGCTGAGCCAGCCCAATCCAGCCATATCTCGTCTTTTTCTTCATTTTTTTTTTCAATTCTTCTATTTGAATATTAATTACTAATCGAAAACTGCTTCATAAACTAAACAAGAAATCCTGTAGACAAAACTTAAGAAAATTACAATTTCGAATGAAGATTAAAAAAAAACAATTTTAAATCCTCAAATAGAAGAAGTCGAAGCAAATTTTATGAGCACAACGTAAACAAATTGGAGAAGTGTAGAATAACGCTACTGGCGTTCCTAAGGTTTTCTAGAACAATCTAAATTGAGCTATAATTCTTCAAGTTTGGATCAAATTGAAGAAACAAAAATTTGAACTTGACTAATATAATTGTTTGAACATGACTTGACTGATAATCAACTCTATACAAAGAAAAGTGAGACGTGCTGTGACTGGTGGCTCCAAATCTTTGATTAGTCCACGTGCATATTAAAAAAATTCTTAGAGGCGGCGGTGCATAATTCACCTCTTCGCGGTAATCCAATCGATTAGATTCTCGATCAAACATTCTAGTAATTTTTACGCTTTTCTATTGGTAAATCACAAGATTACAAAAAAAAACAATTAACCTTAATAAGATAAAAACTATGATTTGCCACCTACCTTATCAATATCGTAGGTACATTGATCCCAGCCATAAAAGATGAAAGGTCTTTCCTTCTCATCGTCTCGAACAAAAAAAGACGTCGACGTAGCATTGAAAAATATTTCTTTTAGCTTGTTTATAATGTGAACAGCATAAAGGGTTTGAGGTTGATGGGGTTGGATAGAGAGAGTATCAAGATTGAGCTCATGAAATTGTCACGGGAATGGACACATACCTTGCAACTAATTATTCTGCACTATGGTTTTGACTCTGGGGATATCTGAGATAGAGATAGAAATTGTTTTTTATATTAAACTATTTTTAAAGTATTTTTTATTTAAGAATATATTTAAAAAATTTAATTTTTTTAAATATTTATTTTTTATATCAGAAGATCAAAACAATTCAAAAATATCAAAAAAATCAAAAAAAATAATTTATTATCTAACCTCATAGCCAAACACTCACTTCATTGAAGCAAAACTGAACTGATATAAGTTTTTTTTTTCTCAGTTATTTACAACATTTATATAAATTTTTCAGGCTTAGGTACCGGTTCATGTACCCTGAAACAGTGAGAGTTTGAATATTTAAGCTATTGATTAATGTATTGACTGATTCATCTCACCTTTTTTGTTGATTCGCTCTTTATTAGATTTGCTTTAATCTGCTAAGAATGTTTTGAAGCCTCTGTTAACCGTGGAATATATGCCATGATCAATGTTACAACCTGAAAGAGTGGAACTGATTTACAAAAATAAATGAATGAAGAATTGAAAAGCGGAGGCTTTCGATCAAAGTTTACTCAGGAAGAACTTTTACTGTTATTAATTCTTGGTTTAAATTGATAGAAAATGACATCTGACATCATAGATGCCTCCCACCTTTCAAAGTGCATGCATTTAAGCAAGTCTTGTTGTTTGTTCCCACATCATTGCCATGGATCTAATATCAGTGGATAAGGGGAAAAAAATTCCACACTGCAACGATATAAGAAATTAATTACTCTGAAAGCATACATTACCAAAAAAAAATTAATAAATATTAATAAAAATATCAAAAAAA